AATAATAATAATAAGGGAGAAATGTGGGATTCACATATAAATCAAGTATAAAAAACAAACAAATATTCATATTGGACCTGATTGTTTATAGTTCATAATGCGTGATCAAAACCGAAAGTTTCTGTAATGACTGCCCTTGTACTGTTCACCATGTAAGAACTTATTCACTATATAAGAATTTGTTCACCATGTAAGAACTTGTTCATTATGCTTCAGAAGATTGGAGACTGATGAGAATCAGGCTTGGGGTGGATTAATGATTGTGCATTGAGCATTGACTCCCCTATACAGAATTTTATTGTTGTTAACAACCATTTGATCAATAAATACGAGAGATGCCCTCTCAAAAAAAAAAAAAAAAGACATGGGAAGAGAAAGGCAGGAAGTGCTACAATAAAAGTACAGGTGTGAGAAAGAGATGTAGAGAAAGAAGGACACAAGTTGAGACAGATGGGGAGGACAGTGAAACCATTGGGTCAAACAGAGACTAAGACTGAGGTAAATCTCTCTTATTCCTTTTTATTTTGTATCCTATCCACCATGTTCAGATGTTACAATATCCATTATTCAGTCTTGAAATAGTAACCAGCCCTGTTATTGTTTTGTTTTTAAATATTTTTGTCCTTTACCTTTTAAAGTTCAGAGACTCTACCTTACTCTAGGATACTTAAGACAGCTGCCTGGGAGAATTTAATTCTCAGAGTGAAGAGAACAACATTGTCAAAGAAAGAGTATAAAATCAGGATTTGTGTCCATCAGACTAGAAGCTACAAAGCAGAAGCTGAGCTCCACCATTTCCTAGCTGTGTGACTCGGGATGCGTTACTTAGCTTCTCTTAGCCTCAGCTCCCTCATGTGTAAAATGGGAAAATAAACAAATGATGGTACTACTATACAAAGCACTTCAAACAGGAATATTAGAAGGCACTCAACAGAAGTCAGACTATTCAAATTACCTCTAATGTGAGTATAAATAAATACGAAGTAGTTTGTTTCTTAGCATGAACAGTAATTATCTTGTAATAATTACCTGAAGCAAACAGCCATGATGATTCCCTTTTGCTATTTTCAAAGTTGTTATACTGACCCTAGGAAGTAAATAAGGAATCCCTGCCCTTGGCCATGCTGCCCCTCCTTGAGCCGATTTCCCCTCTGACCAAGGCAGGAGGGAAAGGCGGCCTCAGTGCTGCTCAGCACCACCTCCCACTGGGCCATCACACCTACAAGTTTCACACAGGTCCCAATATTAAACGTCCATATGCAAACAAGAGTTTGCATTTTAGAAACAGGAATACATCTTTTTTAAACTACATAAATTTTGTACTAAGTTTCACATTTTACCTTTCAGTCTGTAATGAATTAACTGAGTCTTTTCTAAAGCATGAATAAAAAGAGATAAAAGATCAGAAATGTAGAGAATACAACAAATGAAGGATCCACTTAGCCTAAAAGAAAATCATCTGATAGTTTGGAGATCTATAAAAAATAGCAATAAATTTTAAAATAAGAATGCCTTCCTGAGAATTAATCACATTTTGAAGTTTACAAATTTAATAGTAAAATATGATTGTCAAATTTTAAAAAGCATCACACAGCAGTTCTTAAATATGCTTACACTGTCCAATATACAAAATTTCAGTGCATGATAGTCTCTAAATGAAAATAAACCCAAAAGCCCACCATACTTTCATACATAACTGAGATTAACAAATGTCACAATGATCACTCATTACAAAATGAAGTAGATTTACTTTGTTTTAAGTAAATATAAACAAGGAAGGAAACAAACAAAAGACCCCATACCTAGTCTAGGAGGAAATGAAGGTAAAGGAGCCATGAGTTCAACATGAGTCAACTTCACGAGGAAATATTCTTCTAGTTCTGGTATATCATCCTGCAAAAATTACATCATTAAATGCCCTATAATCATGGTCTCAAAGTAAATACTTCTCACAGCTTTTTAAAAAAATCACCCTATAAATATATATTTTTATATATACAGAAATATAAAAATGCAATGGAGAGTAGAAAACACTTATATCAGAAAAAGTACATGTCCTAAAAATGATTTTTTTTTGGATGGGACACCAAAAGCAAAGCAAAAATAATCAAGTGGAACTACATCAAACTAAAGTTTCTGCACAGCAAAGGACATCAATAAAATGAAAAGGCAACCTGTGGAATGGGAGCAAATAACTGTAAATCAAGTATTTGCTAAGGGGTTAATATCCAAAATATATAAAGAACTCATACAACTCAATAGCAAAAAAAAAAATCTGATTTTAAAAATGTGCAGAGGACCTGAACAGACATTTTAAATGGCCAACAGGTATATGAAAAGGTGTGCAGCATCACTAATCATCAGGGAAATGCAAATAAAAGCCATCATAAGAGATCACCTCACACCTGTTGGAATAACTGTTACCAAAAAGGACAAGACATAACAAGGTTGGTGAGGATTTAGGGAATAGGGGACCACTGTGCTCTGTTGTTGGGAATACAACTTGGTGTGGCCACTATGCAAAACAAGAAGGAAGCTCTACAAAAAATTAAAAATAGAACTACCAGAGAATCCATTACTTCCACCCCTGGGTATATTTCCAAAGTAAAATGAAAACAGGATATCAAAGAGATATTTGCACTTCCATGTTCACTGAAACATTATTCACAAAAGTCAAGATATAGAAACAACTTAAGTGTCTTTCAATTAAGTACCAGATGAAGATGTTTTATGTATACAATGGAATATTAGTCACGAGAAAGAAATCATGTTTGTGATAACATGGATGGACCTTGAGGGCATTATGCTAAGTAAAATAAGCCAGAAAGAGAAAGAGAAAAACTGCACGGTAACACTTATATACAGAAAATTTTTTAGTCAAATTCTTAGAAACAGAGGGGAGGAAACTGGTTGCTAGAGGCTGGGTAGAGTGAGGGAAATAGAGGTTGGTAAAGAGTACAAAATCAGCTACAAGACAATAGGGTCTGAGGCTCTAGTGTAAAACATGTTGACTATACATGTTTTACACTAAACATGTTAACAACTGAAACAGTTGTTAACACTGTATTGTATAACTGAAATTTCCTAGGAGAGTAGAAATTAAATGTTCTCACACATACAAAAAGATAAGTATGTGAAGTGATGGATGTATTAAACAGAGGCAGGGGATCCTTTGACAATATAAACATTTATCAAATCACTACAATATATATCTTATAATTTTATATATTTTTATATTCTACTAATCAGTGATACCATGCAGTATTTAATTATACTTGAATAAGGCTGAGGTTTATAGAAAAAACACAAATAAAAGTATTAAACTTATATCTGGTTGTTGATAAGTTCTTAAGTTAAGCCAAATGACAGTGCAAACATTGTATGATTTTTTTTACCTAGACTAATACAGTATGTAAACAAATTACATACATATACAACCTAATATGTTTTAACATACTAGGAGCAAAAGATTTAAAATTATCTTAGTAGCCAACGAATACAATGAATAATAGAATGATACCATAAAAAAATGCAAGCTTTGCATTTAAGCAGACCCAGTACCAAATTTTATCATTTTATGTGAGTTTATAATGATAAAAATTAATGTGTATAGAGTACCTGGCCTAGAGGGAGTCCTTAAAAAATGATAGCTGGGGGGAGTTGGGGGTGGGGAGAGGAAAAATGGCAAGCAGGAAGGCAAGGCAGAAACCTCCCAAATACACATGAGTGAAGAAAATACAGCAAATACAACTAAACCTGAAAACTACCTGAAGGCTACAGAACAGACCACCTACATCTAGGGAAGAGAAGATCTCACAGAGAAGGGTAAAGTGGAAGAGCCACAATCGAGTGGGACCCAAGCCCTTCCTCAATTCCAGCCCACAGGCAGGAACAAGAGGAACAGAGCAGGGAGGGGATAGGAGCCCAGGAACTCTGCACACCTGGCCCTACAGAACTGCTCCAGGAGCATAAATTCATATAACATTGGGTTCTGGTGAGTAGCAGGGCTGGACATTAGGAATAGCTAGAACGCTCTAGGAGGCTAAGACTCCAGCCAGTTATGGAGGACAGGCACATGCCACCAGTCCTGAGACCCAAAGCAGAGGAGGCAGTTTGAAAGACTTCCCAGGAGCAGGAGGGGTGCCAAAGGGGAGGAGTGTTATATGGAGCTCTCTCAGGAGAAAGCATAGGTGAAGGATACCTCACCAGCTCTCCCTCGGCCCAAAAGGTCAGAAACTCATGTGAGCCCCAGATGCTCTGTCCTCCGCCCTGGCAGCACAGCCCCAAGGCTCCTTCCTGTGCACACTGCCATCAAGGCAACCCACTTGGCCCAGCAACAATGTCAGACTTTGCTGTCAGGCGGGCAGAGGGAGACGTTCCCAGCTTTCTCACCCTATTTCAGTCAAAATGGGAAGGTGCCTGCAGAAGCCAGCCACAAGAGATCCTTCATCCCCACAGGTGCATGGGCCTGGTACTGTGAGTCCCACCTTGCCACAGAGCTGCACATAGGCCCACCCACCCCATTAATCCTGACGCTCCACCATTGCTGCAGGGCAGGGAAAGGGTGTTTGCAACCACAACAATCCCAGCAGAGGCTTGTGCATGGATCACAAAGGCTGCTGTGGCAAACTGCCAGAACTGCAAACAGATAGAAAGGTGCTCCCACCCACTGCACACCAACATCTGGGGCTCTGGAAAAGTAGAACCAAGCACTGGAGAGTGAAGAGTCTTGAGCTTCTGGGCACCATAGGAGGCCACCTTCATAATGCTACTGATCTATACACCAGGAAGCTTAGCAGATCCATCTAATACAAAGGAAGAAACACAGAAACCCTGACAAAAATGAGGAGGCAGAGGATTATGTCCTGACAAAACTATAGGACAAAACACCAGAAAGCGGGCTAAAAGAAACAGAGATCACCAAACTTCCTGATAAAGATTTCAAAGTAAAAGTCATATACATGCTCACTGATTTACGGAGAAATAGTCAAGATTTCAGAGAGGCCTTCAACAAAAAGACAGAAGAACTAAGAAAAAAGAGACAGTCAGAGCTGATAAATAAAGTAAATGAAATGAAACATACAATGTAGGAATTAAAGAACAGATTACTGCAAGTAGGTAGAGGAGACAACGAATGAGATGAAAATTAGAATATAGGAACAAAATGGAGCTGAGGAACACACAAAAAATTTATAGAAATGAAAGAATGATAAGAGAGCTATGTAACCAATACAAGCTAAGCCATATTTGAATAATGGAGGAGCCATAAGGAAGAGAGACAAAGGGATAGAAAGTCTCTTTGAGGAAACAATTGTTGAAAACTTTCCCAATCTGGGAAGGAAAAGACACCCAGGTCCTGGAAGCACAGAGAGCCCCTAACAAAAGGAGTCCCAGGAAGATAACACCAAGACATTTAATAATTAAAATGGCAAAGATCAAGGATAAGGAGAGAATATTCAAAGTAGCCAGATAGAGAAAAAAGATTACTTATAAGGGAAACCCCATCAGGCTTTCAGCAGACTTCTCAGCAGAAACCTTAAAGGCCAGAAGGGAGTGCGATGAAATATTTAATGTACTGAAACAGAAGGACCTTCAATAAGAATCCTCTACCCAGCAAGATTATCAATTTGAAGCAGGGATTAAGCAATTTCCAGATAAACAAAAGCTGAAGGAATTCATTACCACTAAGACAGCCTTACAGGATATGCTAAAGGGACTACTGCATATGAAAATGTTCCAAACCTACACATTTTTCACCTGAGAAAATAAACCCCTAGTAAAGGTAGTAGACTAACTAATTACAAAGGAAGTCTGAAATTAAAACAAAAGAAGCAAAATCAACTATACACAAAATCAGTCAAGGGATACACAAAAAGTGCAGATTATGACATCTAATACATAAAGTATGGAGGAGAAAGATGAAGAAAAAAAAGTACTTCTAAATTGTGTCTGAAATAGAGCAATCAGCAACTTAGTATAGACAGTTATACAGTAAAGAAGCTAACCATGGGCCTTTAGTAACCACAAGGAAAAAGTTTTCAACAACAGATATAAAAAAAAATTTTTTTAAGAAAAATTAATAGTAAATCTAAGGAAAAGCATCAAATAACAAGAGAAGAGTATAAGAGAGGAAGAAAGGAACAGAGAGGAGATACAAAAACAACCAGAAAACAATTAATAAAATGAAAATAAGGATATTCCTATCAATAATTACCTTAAATGTACATGAACTGAATGCACCAATCAAAAGACAAAGAGTGGCAGACTGGATAAGAAACAAGAACCATCTATAGGCTGCCTACAAGAGACTCATTTCAGACCCTAAGACATACAGACTAAAAGTAAAGGGATAGAAAAAGATATTTCATTAAAACAATATGGCAGAGGGCACAGCCAAGATGGCGGTGTGAGTACAGCAGCAGCAATCTCCTCCCAAAACCACATATATCTATGAAAATATAACAAACACACTCTTCATAGAATAAAGACCAGAGGACACAGGACAACATCCAGACCACATCCACACCTGCGAGAACACAGCGCCTTGCAAAGGGGCAGCCTGTGCCAGGGCACTCCCACAGCAACAGCGGAGATAAACTCCATAGCAGCTGGGCAGGAAGCAGAAGCCCTGTCTGCATGCAGCTACCCAGCACAAGCCACTAGAGGTCGCTATTCTCCCAGGAGAGGAAAGCCACAAACCAACAAGAAGGGAAGTTCTTCCAGCCATCACTACTCCCAGCTCTGCAAACTATTCCTATCACCATGAAAAGACAAACTTACAGGCAAACCAAGAACACAGAGACACCAGAGAAGGAGACAGACCTAACCTGTCTTCTTGACAAAGAATTCAAAATAAAAATCATAAACATGCTGACAGAGCTGCAGAGAAATAT